GGTCACAACAATCTTCTTTCTTTAAACTCCAAATTTTCTTTCAAGCCCGAACTCCATGCACTGATAGTATCCCAGAAGAGCACCTGTATAAACAATCCTTCATGCTCATCCCACTATCATTTCATAAACATGCTCAAAGACCTTGAATTTTCTTACCTTTTCTCTAAACACTTATATAAGAAAAAGAAAACAATGTTTCCAAGCCTCTAGGTGACAGTGTTATTTAATCTCTTCCACTTTCCCTTACTTTCCTTATACTCAAAAAAAAGAAGAGGAAAAGATATTCAAAAAGGAAATACAATTAAAGCATTGAAAAGAAAATAAGAAAGTGGGGGGGGGGAGTCTTAGACAGTAAAAAATAATTATGCAAATATTTAAGAAAGAAAAGGGGAAAAAATAGTCCAGTTTAAAAAGTAAAAGATGTTTGTAAAAATCCACCCAAATTCCAACAATAAAAAGGAAGGGGAAAAAAACACTCAACTTGACTCTGGCTTAATCTCATCGCTTAACCTCTTCAGTCTTCAATTTTAATTTGACTTCTAATTTTTTAGGGTGTTCTCTTCAATAATAATGATGAAAAGTCCTTTCACCAGATCTACACACTTTCCCTCCTGCTCTTTCTTCCGTACCGAAGCTCTCCCTGACTTCAGTAGCTTTAATGGCTGCCTCGCAGCTCCGGAAAAAAAGTGTTCTCCTGGATCAACCAGGGACTTTGTGATATCCCTGGGATCAGCAGCTTGTGCCTTTCTCTGTCACTGTCTCTGGGACCGTTTAGGTCCAAAAGGACTGTCCAGCGGCAGAGATATCAATAGCGATCTTGGAGCTACATGCTGATGTCGTACTGCCGTGACATCAGCTCCACCCCTCTCAACATACACACACCTCTTTCCCCACAGAAAAGAGCTACAAAACCTAGGTAGACATGACTGGGGTGTGTGTGACTGGGTGGGAGTGGGTGATGTCGAGTTGGCCACGCATACTCAGGTTTTGTGGTTTTCTGTGTTTTCTGTGGGTAATGGTCCAAATGTCTCTTTGAGCATTTAATTTTGGAGCCCCCCAGTCTAGTGGTTAAGGACCAGACTAGAAAGTGGGAGACATGAACTCTACTCCTGCCTCACTCATGTAAGCTAGTTGGGTTACCTTGGGTCATTTTTTTCCAGCCCAGCTCTTATCACTGGGTTGTTGTGGGAAAAATGGTAACAGTATAGTATAACAGTATAAATGTATATTCATTCTGCTTCCCTGTATTTCATTGATAGTATTGGTGCCTTTTTTCTGTTTTTGATGAAATGATAAAAGTCATTTGATTTTTGAATAAAATTGCATCATGTGAGAAACTTTTAAAAATATTAAACATACAACTTTAAATGCTTGTAGATCTCATTTTGTGAGCTAGTCAGTCATAATAAAGAAGTTTCAAATTTAAATTTAGAGAGAAAATGTAGTACAGATAATTGTCAACATATAACCATTTGTTTAGCGACCATTCAGAGTTATAACAGCATTGAAAAAATGATTTACAACCAGTCCTCATGCATATGGCAATCAAGATGTCCCTATGATCACATTATCAAAATTTGTATTCTTGGCCCGCTAGCATGTATTTATGATGGTTGTAGCTTCTTGATATCATGTGATCACTACTTGCAACCTTCTCAGTTGGCTTCTGACAGTGTCAAAGTGGGAAGTCATTTGCTTAATGACTCCATGAATCATTGAAGAACTGCAGTGATTCACTTAACAACCATAGCAAAACATGTAAAATTGGGTGCAAATTACTTAATATTCTTGCTTAGCAAAGAAAATTTTAATTCCAACTGTGATTGTAAATTGAGGGCTAATTATATACAATATAAGAACTGACTTGTCAATATTGATAGCATTATCATGCATGACATTTTGGATGCAATTCTAAAACATTATGGTTTATTTAGAATCATAGAATTGGAAGAAATCATTCAAGCGATCTATCCCCTACACTCCATTTATTGCAAGAATTCAAATTAAAACAGTCCTGACTAATAGCTATACCATCTTGTCTGAAGACATTCAGTGAAAGGGAAGTTCTTCCCCACTCTAATTACTGTGCTAAATGCTTAATGCCATGTTAAGATTATGTGGTAGAATGTAGTTGTCAGATTTCTATTGGGATATTGGCATTCTAATAGGAGAGGGGACGATTGGAGGTATCACTATATGAAGTTTCTGTTTCCTGCATTGCTGTACTGTGGGAGGGGTTTTGTTTGCACTGCTTTAAATAGCTGTTTTTAAGTGTGGCGATTTAGTTCTGCCTAAACCTCTTGCTATCACAAGCCTTTCAATAAAAGTTGCTTTTGGAACAACTTCAGTTTCAAGAGTCCTGCTTTCTTGCAAAAATTTGGATAGGCAATGTCTTACAATAGTCTAGATTCTCCGGAAGGATTGTGTTCTGGAGAAGCAAAAGGGAAAAGATAGTTTGTGTGGAGGAGTTAAAATTACTTCTCCCTAGGAGTTCTCAGAGTATATATTGGGGTGAGTGATCTGCTTTGGTTTGGCAAGATTTCTAACTCTAGATAAGGATCATAAACAAAACTGCTTAGAAGAATTTAAATGTCATATCTTAAAGATCATTCAAATGAGAGATATAAACGAGACTGGAAAAAATGGATTGACTATATACAAAATAAATACGGGACCAAGAAATT